AATAAACGTTGAAAAAAAAAATTAAAAAAAAAAAATTAAAGACAAAAACAAAACAAAAAACCCCCAGAGGCTCAAAATGGAGATGCTTATGCTTAGTCCCACTTTGCCAAACCCAGTCTCAGCTCTCCCAGAAATGAATTTTTTTTTAATGTGTATTTATTTTTGAGAGAGACAACATGTGCACAAGCAGGGGAGAGGTGGAGGGGGGCGGCACAGAGGATCCGAAAGCAGGCTCCACGCTGACAACCGAAAGCCGAGAGCCTGATGCGGGGCTCCACCTCGAGGACTGCGAGATCATAATCTGAGCCCAAGTCGGACACTTAACCGACTGAGCCCCCCCGGACGCCCCTCAGAAATGGATTCTTAAACCAGGATCGGGAATCACCTGTCAGCACTAGTTGGGCAATGTGCTTGATAGACTTCTGCCGTTCCCTAAAGGAAAGTGATCTTACAAGAACCCACTTTTTTTTGCCCAGTGCAACTTCTTTGCCCTTGCTCCCCTCTGCCCATAAGTCTTCCACTCTGCACAGCCTCTCAGAGCTCCTTTCTATCTGCTAGATGGGATGTTGCCAATTTATGCATCGTTGGATAAAGCCAATAGAATATTTAAAATTTCCTCGGTTGAGTTTCAGTTTTTAACTCTTGTTAACTGCCAAGGCTCGTGCTCCTTGGTGACATCCGTGCCCCACCCCTGCACCCACCAGTGGGATCACAGTGGAGCTCGGGCTACCCGCACAGCAAGAGAACGGACTTCTCGAGATGTTCTTGAGGTGTTCTTCTGTGGGTGCTTGGGTGAGTGCAGCCGGGCGTCATGTTGTTTGTCTTGGGGAGACCGGGTGTGACCGCTGGCGTCCAGCAGACTTGGGCGAAGCAGATCCTATACACCCCCCCCTTCCCGTGCTCAGATCCACTGGGAACCCCACAGCTTGGGCACCCCCTTCCCTCTTGGCCCCCTGCAGGGCAGAGGGTACCCCAGGAAACTGGGACCGCCCCACTCGTGGGGTCTTCTTACTGATTGGTGCCTACTCTGGCGGGGACCAGGAGAGGTGAGGCAGGAACCCCACAGATGTACGGGGACCCCTGCCTAACAGGGGCTTCTGAGACAGTCTGCCCTAGGCCAGAGTGCTCTGGCTAAGACACATTGCTGTGGGCTGGATGCGCTAGGGAGCCCAGGACTCTATCCAAGGGCAGGACTCCAGACTGTGTGCCCCGACTGCTCTCCTGGCCACCCCACCCCCAAAGGCCAAGGGCAGCCCGGCCACCGGTCTCTGCCCTCTCCAGCTTCTCCCTCTCCCTCCGCGCCTCCCTCCCCCTTTCTTCCATCCCTCCTTCATTCCCGGACTTTCTCTCCCTCTGTCCCTCTCTCGGGCTCTCTCTGCCCCTGTCCCGGTTGTGCCTTCTCTTCCCCACAGCCTCGTGTCTGTGACCCTCTCTTCTGACCATCCCCGTCCGTTGGCACCTGGCCGGCTGTTCCACT